TCACAGAGTTATTAGGAGCGTATTTCTTACATGAATGAGTGTTCATAACACATATTTTCTGTCGTGCATGTCATCTGTTCTATGACACGCATTACACTGCCATGTTTTGGGGAAGTTTTGTTAACTTTATGTATATCAAGTTTCACAGGTCATGATAGCAGAATAAGATGAAGAAAATGACTGGTCATAATCATAACACCATAAATGTCAAGCATGTCACCCACATCATCACATATATAACCCGGTCATAGAGCTCTATTCGTGGCTTTATTAACTTATTGAGTAACAAACTATAGATGGCATGATAAGTGATCATGAATAACATAAATAGACAATCTACACGAGAACTTTGGCGTTCATGTCATGCAGGTCATGGAATACATCACTCGGTCATGGAGCTCTAACAACCACCATAATAAATTCGTGCCTACTAAAAATGATACGGCATGATAAGAGGGCATAACTACCATAACTGACTAGTCGTAGCATAAATGTTATGTCATGGAAGTCATGTGCGCCATTTCACATATAACCAAGTTATGGGGCTTCAAAGGTTGTTTTTTTTATCTGGTTGACTTGAAATATTGAAGTGTCACGGTAAGAGAGTAATGCTTACATAACTGAGTATAACACATAAATCAGATTAGCTCATTGTGATATATTTGGATGGCCTTAACGCAACCCTGCTCCAACAACCAACAGGCTAGACAATCTAAACTACCTCCCAATGGACTTGCTCAGGATTAGCCTAATGTCAATTGAGTTAATACAGTTTACTATACATTACCTAATATGGTTAACTTTTGTCATCCAACTGCCTAGGCAATCCTAACTCACTCAAAATAGGATGGTTCAAGGTATGGATTATCTGAATCTAGGTTACTTTAATTTAATCGTATCGGCTTAATACGGCCATACGCATTCACACATATGGGTATCCATTCTCAATTATTTAAACATTGATTCGTTTCAGGTTAGCTTATTCCGGTTTTATTCAGTCGCGCTTAGTTGTAAAGAAGATAAAGTAGTCGGGTCTAATTTACCTCATCGCTATGTCATCTCATCTTGAATCGGATTAGCGCGATTTGACATATTCTGAACGAATCTTGCCTAATCACCCTGGGTAGGTATCTAGCAGACTAGCGCTGATTTGGCTTGTCCGAACTCAGTCTATGATATACTGGCTTAACTAAAGTGTTTCTAAGCATACCGTGGTTTAGTCCGGAGGGTTATGTGGTATCAGAGGGTAATAATCAGTATAAATTTGTATAAACTACAATTCGTTGTCATGACTATGCTTAAATACCGTGAGCTATGAAACATTTGTCGCGATCAAGCTTAAATAAGTTTATCGGCAGGGTAGTCGAAGTATCTAATCACACCGCACTTCTTAATGCAAAGCTTAACATTGTCTTTGAAAAAAATCCGGCAGGCCTGCGCAGAATGCGCAGCAATGTCACAGCGATACCTAGAAGAGTAGTCTTCCGGAGCCTTTCTAAACACTCGTTGGGTAACTGGTGAAAGCACACTTGCTGGGTACCAACTACGGCATTTTTAATATTAAAATCTTGCTAATAGGCCGGGATTCGTTGTGCGATTTGATTTTTCGTCATTCTTCTGAGAAGCTTGATATCCGCTAAACACTTTGCAGGAAATTTTGTGTCAAGTGTTCATGCACTGGCTGATCATAATGCGAAATTATGGATGTAATGGGTACGCACCACAGCTAAGGGGCGATCAAATACAAGGTCTTGTCATGGGTTAGATCATCGCACGACCCATTAGTTACTCTATTCGCATTGTGTGACACATCCTTGTTCCTTTGCTGTTCTAAAACCCATTATTACTTATATCAATGCAATTCCTTTCCCGACATCAAGCCTACCTAAGGCAAGTTTGTGAACATATTCCAAGCACCGGTGAGGCTCAGTAGTAGAATACTGGGCTGGCACTCATTGGGCCCGATCAAGCCCCACTGTGTCCTTAGTGCAAGTTTTTTTTCTTAACTCGTGCGATTTGGTTACGAACCCGTGGGTCACCCGAGTGTCCCGCGTCCCACGAGTTGAGATCTCATAACAGCTTTTTCGGTAAACAGCAGCTTCACGTGGTGAGTATGCGATGCAGTTATAGGGAGATACTCGATTAGAATTTTGTTTACAGCATAGTCACGGCCAGTGATTTAAAAATCCATGGCCACATGTTGGACAAGCCAGGAACCAACCTCGCATATCTTGCTGCTTTCGGTCGTATGCGAGGGATGCATGAATCATATAATATTCATTGAACGCCATGGAAGGTAACGCGGGCTCGCGATCCGCTCTTACAGAACTTAGTCAACGCTGTGCCGCTCGTTTTTCTGCGTTTTAGATGCGTAGCTCCTTAAGCTGTGGGTCGTGCTTCCGCGATGTATGTCTTGTCTTGTCGCCTAGAAGATCTTGGCACATAGTAGTAGTCATCGTCGTCGTCGTCGTCGTCGTCGTCGTAGTAGTAGTAGTAGTAGTAGTAGTAAGGAACCCACCTCCACGGCTGGACTTGTGGAGTGGCACTCGCGCATTCTTTTGAAGGAGGAAGCCCGCGCACATTAATCATACATAAAAAGAAAGTTATTTCAGATGAAAAACCCTACAGGGACATGTATCAGTGAGTTATTCTCCAATGAAATTTGGCTTAAATTTGATGCGTACTGAGAAGGAACTTAGTAACAGAAGAACAAACTTCGAGCGCTACCTCAACAGAAAGGATTGCCACGTTAAATTCACTCTGCGTAATCTCCTTGGTTTTAGCAAGGTTTAGCAAGGGTTGGGCTGCAGTGCCATGAACTAGCGGCGGTGAAAGGTGGAAACTCGACACAAAGCGCAAGGCGTAAGAGAGTGCGCACATGCCCCTTCACTAGTCCTGCCATGACACCTCTCGTTTGGTACTTGGAATGTCCGCTGGATGGTGGTACTTCCCTATGATGAATATATAATAAAAAGATGCGAGATGACGGTACTTGGAGTGTTCACTAGATGGACGAACGGATGGACAGACGCACGAACGTACGGACAGAGAGATGCACTGTTGGACACGCAAATCAACGCATGGATGGGCGGGCGCACGGGTGGACGGATGGTCGCAAGAACGAACGGACAGACTGAAGCGAGGATGGACTGACACGTACTTTGCCCCACTCGTCATCATGCACTCCATGGATATGCCGTATTTTTTTCGATAGATGGTGGCACACTACAAGTGATTCGCTTTTTGACGGGTTGTGAGTGAAATCTGCGCACCCAGATAAACGTCGCGACTGACGCGGTGTTGGTGTGATACGGGGTGAGTGACCGGTGATGGTATTGTTGAAGTCATTCGCAGAGAGAATACCTCAGATTGCTTTCAGCAGTGGTGTTGGAACAAACCATCTTGATAACAAGAATTTTTCACTGGACGCAGAATGCAGTCAACGCTTTGAGAGTGACAGTGACGATGAATATTCAGCTGCTAACTCACGAGGAGTGAGTTGCAATTCACGTCCCCTCGTATGTTATTGTTTCAGGGACCACACTCCTCCCAGTCTCACCTTGTCCTGCGTCACGCTTTACCGACAGACCTCCCGAGCAGTATAATAGATGGCGCTGTCTCATGAATATTTCTCATCTCATTCTGTAGATGGCGTTGGTTCAATAAGAAGTTTGTGCAATAAGATGGGTTGACACACGAACAGACGAACCGAAGGATGAAAGGCCGGACGGACGGATGAACACACGGACGCACGCACCGACGAATGCACGTGTGCACGGACTGGCGGACGAACGAATGCATGGAAGAACACACAACGAACAAGCGAATGCTTCTTTCAACTCATTATCATTCACTACATGAATATACTGTAACACTTTCATGTTTGTAGGTCACTGTGACTGTATTCAAGCTATAGTATCCTTCAGCGAGGGGAAAATAAAAGCAGCGTTTTTCTTGTACACTGAATGATATTGGATTACTGTTGATATTATGAAACTCCGCACGCCGCTAACGAGCTCGAGCTTGATCAGCGAACCGAAATTATTATAGCGATTGAATATGCAGTTGCGAGAACAACTTACGTCTCTCTGCTGACTTCTCCTGTACTTCACCCAAGGAGGTTTAAAAAAAAACTTCTGGAGTGGAGGTCCCCTATTCACGCCCACGCAAGCGGGTGAAGCCGGGGAAAGCGGTTGGCGGCCATCTTGCTCCAGGCAAGAGAGAGCGCAGACAACGTATCAAGCGTGCTTCCGTGGCGGCTTTTTCGAATGAAACGGGGCACTTAGTATAATTAATTTCACTCGCATTTTTTTCTTCGTGTTAGATAAACAAGATCTGTATAAAGCCGTCAGTTACGATATTACACGTGAGCCGTACGCAATTACGTATTAGCGAATATGCATTACAACGGTTAGCTGCTGTAAGTGCGGATTCGCTTGCAATTCTCGAAATGAGGCTCACGGTGGAAGCAACACAGGGGTATATGAGTTTTTATTCATTCAAGGCTTTATACAATTTCCAAAAGCACATACAATAAAACAGAAACAATTCACACGAAAACGGCCTGATTCCCAAAACGCAGGTTATATCAGGCAACTCTATAACAACACACTAAAATTGCAAAAAATATAGAATATACCAGCTGCTCCGCTTTGTTCAACGCTGGTTCTCATCTGTACCTTAGAGATTTTTAAATATAATAATCCTTGTCAGCTGGGTTCGTACCCCACTGCGCGAGTTCTTGCGGTTGATTTCTTTGGAAATGTGGTGAAGCCTGATTGTTATATACAGGTTGGCAATCTTTTTCGCCAAAACGTAGATGTGATTGTTGAGTGGATCGCAGTCCAACGGATGAGGCTCTAACTCAGAAAATAATGCTTGTTCAAACACCTCCGTTAACACCTCTACCATGAGGCGATCACTGTTTGCATGCAACGATTTCAGGTCCTTACATTGAACCTGTAGGGCACGAAGCCCTTTCTCCACAGTGTGGCAGATCTTCAAGACAAAGCGTTGTTAAATTTCGACCGCACATACTCATACGCTGCCGCAGAGTAGTAGTGCAGAGTGAGTGCGAATGCACGTAGCTCTGGGGGGTACATCTTGTTTGTTTTTTCATGGGCTCGGACAAGAAGCCGTTGAATTTCAGGCGAGAAAGTTGCTTCAAAGACCTCAAGGCCTTTTTCTGACAAAAGTTTCCTCTCTTTTAGCTCCTTGATCAAATTTTCTGACGCATCACACCGCTTGCTTAGCCTTCTTTTGGATTGCTGCAGTGTCTTAACTTTCTTCTTTAGTTGGAGAACCTCTTGTGCAGACTCCTCTGCCTTGGAACGGTACCAATCCTTCGCCGGCGAAGAAGGCTCAGATGGCATTTCAACCGCTGCCTCAGCACTGACGACAGGTGACAGCGCAGTCTGACACTTAGGGGCCTCTCGCTTTCTTTTCGCCTGCAAGAAAAAAAAATCAGTTATGCTCCAAAGTTCAGAAGCCGGGTATAATGGTCCCACCCACTGCTTAGACTGACTAGAAACGGGATTACTACCTCGGGGATCTTTTTATAGTTTCGGTGCGGAAGTTTAGCGTGCCAGCGTGCCCGTATTTATGCACGCACAGTGAAAAAAAAAGTTGAACAAGTAAGTGTACGTGACGTGCGCTTTGTCAGAGAGTGGTGTGATTTTGAACAGCACGTAGGAAACGAGAAACTGTGCCTACACATTCGGAAATCTATAGCCTATTTACCGTAACGAAAATGTACATTCGTGATGGTACTCACTGGTTTCTGGAGATGCGCAGGGAACGCAGGAAAAATGGTAGGAATGCTCCCTGGTCGCAGTCTGGTCGTTTGGCCCGTCCTGTCAAAGCAGTTGGCTTCAAAGTGCTCCGAGCAGAGAACGTCCGCATTCTTAGGCTCCCAGCCATCCCTCCGAACAGCACGCTGCCATGCGTCACGCAGCGTCTTGTCTTTCGGAAACCTGCCGTACCACACGCACAAAATAGGTTATTCAACTTCTACTCGCCAGCTGAAAAATGCTAATGAAAGTAAGTGTTCAGATGAAACCGCGCTTCTCGAATGAGGTAGCGCGCCACAGGAGACAAGCGATTGAAAGCGCTTTTTCTCGCGTACTTACACGTGAAAAGTGATTCCTGGCTTCTGCTTCGCACGATTAGTGCAGCCGAAGGCGACACACGAGCTCACCATAACGTCCGGAATCGTGTCAACTTCCTTTATAACTGCACAAAATTCGCACAGAACAAAAGAACGAGGGACAAACGCGACAACTGTTGTTCAGTGGCGCGAACGGCGGGGGCCCAAACGACCGACGGCACGTTTTTTGCCTGGAGCAACATGGAGGCCGTCGGCGTCACCAGAGGGCAGGCGCTTCCACTCCAGAAGTTTTTTTTAAACCTCCTTGACTTCACCGGTATTTTCCGAACGGCGTTGTTGTTTGACGATTTTTTTTATTGCGTCGTTGCGTGAAGCATACTATTGTATTCTTATCCATATTAGTGTTTCGATCGCGTTGATGATTGATTGATTTGTGGGGTTTAACGTCCCAAAACCACTATATGATTATTAGAGACGCCGTAGTGGAGGGCCCCGGAAATTTCGACCACCTGGGGTTCTTTAACGTGCACCCAAATCTGAGCACACGGGCCTACAACATTTCCGCCTCCATCGGAAATGCAGCCGCCGCAGCCGGGATTGGATCCCGCGACCTGCGGGTCAGCAGCCGAGTACCTTAGCCACTAGAACACCGCGGCGGGGCCACGTTGATTGAGCCTGAAACAATTCGGTGGAGTGTATATCACAAGCTACAGTCTGAGCTTGGAATTGATGCAAGCGCTACCTAATTGAATTTGTTCCCTGGAAGAAGCAACTCCATGTTCCTGACCGTGCTGGTAACAACGACGGTGTAGTATATTTTCGAACCATCCCCACGGTGCATTCGGTGCCGAGCAGTCACAATGGTGCTACACGCTAGCGACCTACTACTGCGGCAAATCCTTCAGGCTGGCTCGGTACATGTATACGCGTATACGGTACATGGCTCGGTACATGTATGTATGAATGGTATAAGTACCATTCAGTTCATGCGTAAGCACTAGTTCGTGCAGTTTTCTGCCGCAGGCCCAGGATACACATGGTGTCGTTCATGCACGGTTGACCACCTGGCACCACCACACTCCGCAATGCGTCAAAAATGGTTGATTGATATGTGGTTTTCAAATTCCCCAAACCACCTTATGAATATGAGAGATGCCGTTGTGGAGGGTTCTGGAAATTTCGACCACCTAGGGTTTTTTACCGCCCACCTAAATCTGAGCACACGTGCTTACAGCATTCCTGCACCATTGTAAATAGAGCCGCCGCAGCCGGGATTTCATCCCGCAACCTGCGCGTCAGCAGACGAGTACATTAACAACTAGCGAGGCCTGCGGCGAAAAATGAGGTGGGGATTATTTAGTAGTTCTTATCGTTTGGGAAAGTACTTAGGTTCGATTTACAATCTTTTGATCATCAAGAGTTCATCCGGTGAAAGAAGCATGGGCGTGCTTTCGTGCGTCCTAATCTTTTTTATACGAATTCACGGGTTGGCCCACTTACAGCAGCCATTTTGAATTGCACAGCACGCTACCCATAGCTCGTGGACATAGCGAATACGATGTTCTATGCACAGTGTATGTTGCTCTTCATAAACCCGTTTTTCACGCTTTTACAATTAGTGTTTTAAAATAATCAGTTGTGAATTATGATGCATTGTTCAAATTTATTATTGCATTTGAATGGTATGAACTTGTAATCATTCGCGCACTACTGCTGCATGAATGTACAGGTCGCCGGGGCCTTTGTCATGGTGTTCTTATGACTTTTTACTTTGGCGAAGATGCAGTTTCTTATGGTAAATAAAACTTTCAAATTTCCATTTGAATTATGAGATCTGCGTGCGTCAAAGTACGCTCAGAAGAGCTTGTGTAGGTGGAGGGAGCTTGATGGAACATACTGTATGAAAAGGAAGCGCTGCGATGTTCAGAACACGAAAAACCAGCACGGCACAAACCAAGCGTCTGTGTAGTCCCTGTTTTTTTTTTTGTGTTCTTAAGTTCGCAGTGCCGCCTTTTTATACATACTACGCTCAGCTCATTAATAAGCTCGTAACTTTTTTCTCATACTTTAAAAGTCATTCAAGTATGTATGAATGTAATATTGAATTCCTAATTGTTGACATCAAAGACGCATTTATATCAGAATACTTTCTGGCAAACTTAGGTGTTTATGTCACAAAGTGCTAATTATGTAGAACACTTTGCGTGCGATTTTTTATTACCTGTCAAGTATTTACGTGCACATTGAGCTTCTATTCACTTTTTATGACAACTTCAAGCGCGGGCAGGCAAAATTTGCTTAATTGATCCCCTGTGACATTATTGTTTATGTTGCTATTTAAAGCCGATAAGCCGCTTGCGAAAACGCCTGTGATTCCTTTGATTTTTACCGCCTCAATATATAGGCTGCACAGCTGTACTCTCATGCTTCAGCTGCCTAGAAATGACAACAACCAAAGTGGCAGCTCTGCCAGCAGGACCTGGATAAAGATCAAGATTAATTGCAATTGATCGATTCCGCATAGAGAAATAAATGTGTAATATTCATACTTATTGTAACTAATATGCTCTATACCAAAAGCACGAAAAAGATACTTGCTTAAGAATATATTCTGAAAGTGACGTGCTTTTGAAGAGAATATTTCTGAACATACAAAAAACAAACGGAGCCTATCTCGTGAACGAATGCAAATGCAGATGTGGGAGGTCGTATTATTGACTGAACGCACAACTTTGTGCACGTCATCCTTCTTGGCTTTATTTGCGAAAATGAGCGTGATAGTGAAGACGTCTGAATGCGAGAGAACATGATAAATGTAGAAAAAAAGTTAACCGGCCTAAATAAGGCAGTCTCAATGTTCTCGTCTCCGGACTTCTTTACGTCCGAAAGAGCTCCACGTGCAGAGAACAGCCACGTAGTTACTAACTTTGACGAACGTTTTTTGCTGTCGACACGGAAACTAATTAATGTCTTTCCGAAATATGTTTTTTCGCGTGTACCTGGAGCAGCGAGACTGCGACATAAAATTAATATTGGGGACATAAAATTCTAGGCAGCTTATTAGGATATGAACATGTTAAAGCGAGAGTGTTCACTGCGGGAGTAGACGAAGACTCTACTGACGTCCTAAATTACTGCCGTGCCTCTAATTTCGTGCCATTTGTCTTAGCCACTTAGGCAGCCATCTCAAATGTAGTAAAATATCGTGCTTATATACTGTATTGAAAAAAGTGAACTGCTAGAATATTTGAATGAATAAGTAAACTTTATTTAAAATCTGTCAATTTTTACCGTGCCAGATGAGGTAAAAGGAGATTGACCCCTCTCTTTTCCCCTGGCCCATCTTCACCTGGACGGATGACCCAAAGCTGGTGTGCCAGCTCGTCGCTAGTGAGTGCCACCTGCGCTGCCACCGCCGATCCGCAACAGTGACCGCAGCCGTGGTGGAGACCGGCCCCTGCCCTCGCGCGGTGGTAGCTGCAGCAATTGGCTTCGGAGTTCGTCCTTGCCTAACATGCGTCGCGAGGGGAGCGGCATCAAGGACATTAGCTTTTCGGGAATACTTCCAAAGCATGTGTCGCAGCGTCGCCCTTCCCCGCACGCTCAACATGCGTCCGTCGAGTATACGTGTGGATAACACAGGCGTATTTGTCTATATTAGTCTCAATGTTATGACCTGTCTTTTATTCAATTTGTTGTGTGGTGGTCATTATTTGCGTCTGTTTAGCTTGTAATGTTGCGTAATGTTGTTGAATGTGGTCAGGCGGCCCGCTCTCGGAGGTGAAGGCGGCCACCGAATTGGCCACGGCTCGGTGAGTTAGATCTCAAGCCGTGGTGTGGGCTGCCTGGTTGCCTGCGAGTGGGACGCTGGTGTCAGCCGGGGTCCACAGAAGGAAGACAGTCACATTTTCAGTTTCGAGATACAAGGAGGACGACGCCGAGGCCATCGCTCTTCGAAGCTCACCGTCGTGCTCCTTGCCATTACTTGATTACAGAATCCGGACCGCCAGACGCGAGATGTGGCTGCGCGCGGAGCCACGGACGCCAGCGTGCGAGTCGTTGATCACGACCGCAGCGTCCAGTGCCGCGGCGACCAGTGTTAGAGCAATCGCCGCCTCTTCGGCCGCCTCTATGTGTTCCGTACGCACTGTGGCAATCGCGATTCATTTACTCGTGCGATTCACAACGGCGATCACGTAAGCACGCCTTCCCTCCGGTTATCGCGCAGCGTCCACGTACACCACCTTTTTGCTGTTGCCATAAATTCTTTGAAGGTCACTCGCTCTTTTGTTGCAGTGCCCGACGTGGTATGTCGGATGCATGTTCCTTGGGAGCGGCGGGGCAATGAGACGGTCGTAGACCGTAATCAAAACCATCGTGTTCTCCCCACAATGCGTGGTGTATGTAATGCCTAGAGATTCAACGATGCGCCTGCTCGTCTTGGACTTGGACAATCACTCGTATTGAGCAATGTTGTTCACCTCAATTATTTCGTCCGAGGTGTTGTGCAGCCCCAGCTCGAAGAACATGTCGTTGCTCGTGTTTACAGATATGCGTACCACTCTTTTGAACGCCTTGCGAACCACGCAATCGACCTTGTTTTGTTCGGACGCCAGCCATTTTAAATAAGGAGGGACGAACGTTATGCGACTGATCACGTACGCCTGTACGAGGCGGATCGCGCAGCTTTCCCGTACAACGCTGCGTCTTTTCGTTATGCGGCGCAAGAGTCGAATTCTGTTGTCCGCCGAAAATTTAAATCTTCGTACCATCTCACCGTTGTGAGCGCTGGCCTGCAGATGTAGTCCAAAAATACTTATGTTCTTGAGCTCGTTATGGGAACGCCATCCGCCTCTACTACTCTAATTTCTGATCTCCCTCCACCGGGACGGACGGTTTTGGGGCCTCTTCTCGTAGTTCTGTTTATCATTGGCCCCTGAAAATTTGAGGCTTGCACCTCTCAAGAAGTCCTGCACCGCGTCCACGCCCATCTGTGGCGTCCGTATATAGTTACAAAATCTTTGGCCCTATCTCAGCGATCTGACACGGTCGAGAATCGCAGCATGCTCGATGCTGTTAAAAGCTTCAGATTACTACCAAACAAGTCTTATGAAACGCTATTACG